GGAATTGAAACTATATCAAATGGATATTAAGAGTGCCTTTCAAAATGGAGTGATAAAAGAAGATGTGTATGTTGAACAACCCCCAGGCTTTAAAAACTCACAATTTCCTAATCATGTGTTCAAATTAAAAAAGGCATTATATGGACTAAAATAAGTACCCATGGTATAGTATGAAAGGCTAAGCACATTCCTACTAGAAAGAACCTTTATTAAGGTGAGCATCCTATTTCTAAAAAAAGTTGCAGATGAACTACTCATTATCCAAATTTATGTTGATGATATTCTGTTTGGATCTTCAGATAAAAATCTATGTGATGAATTTTCAAAAATAATGAGTAAGAAATTTAAGATGAGTTTGATGGGAGAACTGACTTATTTTTGGGGATTTAGCATAAGGCAGAAGGATGATGAAACTTTCCTTAGTTAATCAAAATATATTAAAGACATCCTTAAGAAATATAAAATGTATAAAGCCAAGCCAATCTACACTCCCATGAGTTCCACTGTTCAATTAGATAAGGATTAGAATGAAAAACATATTGATCAAAAGAAATACAAAGAAATAAATGGATCACTTCTTTACTTAATTGTTAGCATATCTGATATTATGTTTAGTGTTAGCATTTGTGCTAGATTTTAGAATTATCCAAAAGAGTCCCACTTGACTACTGCTAAGAGAATTTTTAGGTATCTCCTAGGAACACCTGACTTAGGAATCTGGTATCCTAAGCATTGCACCTCCTTTGAAATCATGAAATATTTTGATTTAGATTTTGTGAGATGCCAAGTTGATAAAAAAGAACTTCTAGAACTTATCAATTCATAGGATAGTCCTTGTCTCCTGATCCAATAGAAAATATAACTTAGTTTCCCAGACCATTGCTTAAGCTGAGTACATAGCCTTAGGAAGTTGTGTATCCCAAGTCCTCTAGTTAAAGCAACAAATTCTTGATTTAGGATTACCTTTAGGTATAATTTCAATCCTATATGATAACACTCTAGGACCATGTTATTAAAAGAGATATAGAGAAACACCATATAGCCACTGAAAACAAACTTGCTGATGTCTTTATAAAACCATTAATATTTAAAACTTTCAGCATCTTAAGAACTAGATAAGGTGTAATAGATATTAATGCTTGAAATTGTTACTTTTAATTTTATGATGTTTTGTTTTTGTTTTATTTGTATGTTTGTTTCTATTTTTGTAGTTATGTTTTTGTTTCTCATTTTTCTGTTATTTTTTTCCTTCAGTGTTTTTAATTAAATAATCAAATTAATGGTCACTTTTCATATTGATTTCTTAAATGAAATTTTTTCATTGCATTAGTTTTAGAAATTAGTAGGCAAATATTGACTTCCCTAAATCAGTTATAGGAAGAAATAATGATGATTGTCTCTCTTCCTCTAACTGCTTTTGTGGTGTATTTTTTTCATTTTGAAGCAAAACCTATTTCAAATTAAAAGTTAGATTTTTGAATTGAGATCTATTTTTATCTTTCTATAGTAATATATCTCATATGAATGATGTTCAAAGTCATTGAATCACTTTTTCAAGTTTTTATAATCAAATTTTTGCATCTAGCATATAGATATGTTTCTATTTTGTGGTTTACTCTTCCTTATGTTAGAGAGTGAACTCTTTTACTATTATATATGGAATATAATCTCACAACTAAGAGTCTATAAAGATTTTTAAAGGAAGCCAGCTTAAAAAAATGATAAGAGGCATAAAATGAGCTCAAAAGAAAGATGAAAAGATGCGCAATGATCGCCAAATAATTGCAAGATACACCAAAGTGTATAAAAAATTAAAAAATGCACAAAGTATGCCAAATAACTAAAAAAGAGGCACAAAATGAGCCCATAAAGAAATTAGATTCTTTTTCTTTCATATTTTTAAATCTCAGAAGAATCCATATGCCACTTGATATTTTCAAACACTTCAATTTTAAAAATTATGATTTTTGGTTGATTATTTTGTAATATTATTCCATCATATATTTTTCTAAAGAAAAGTTTGAAAAGATCACTCTTCTTATCTAACTTCTTTTCTGAATTGGATTTTTGCTTAAAAAGATTTTTAACCTATTAGGAGTCCGAGCTAGGTTTAACCAGATCGGTTTTAAACCTTTTCTGGATTTCAACATTGTTAATTGATTTCTTACAGATTTTTAATCCACTTACAAGGGAAATTTATTATTTACTAGATTTGATCCATTCAAAAAAAATGTGTTCTTTTGCTTTTTATGTATGATTGGTTTTTTTTTTGTGTTATTTTATGTTATTTTTTTTGTTTTTATTTTTGTTTTAAAAAACTCCTGATCATGACTTTCCATATCCTAAATTTTTTTTGTTTTGTTCACATCATCCAGGATAATCCACATCGTCATGTATGATATGAACAAAGATACCCTTCTCAGATCACACCACATCCAACAACTGATCTAAACTAGTTATTGGTGATCATCCCATATGATTCATACATCAAACTGGGGAATCCACATGGTAGAAATGGCTGGATGATTTGAATATTGTTAGGACAACCCATTATTACATATCAACCCAGATGATACATATGTTCATCATATATGATCCCTTTATTCAATGGTCATATAGGATGACTCCTCGGGATGACCGCTCTGTGTCTAATCGTCTAGTATGTACTTGATAATCCTGGAGGATAAGAACAACTTTTTTGACCAATCATCTAGATAAAATTATTGTGCCTAATTATTCGGGACAATCTCACGATCATCCTAAATGATTATCCAATCCTATATAAATAACCAATCTCAAGCCTTATTCACTCTAAGCATTCATATTCTCTTTTCTCTCAGTCAAGCTCTAAAATTTTAGATATGGCTGACAGTAAAAGACCTCATGCATTTCCAGGAGTACTGTCAATTTTCACTTTACTGAAGCAGCTGATGAAGCTGCTTACAACCGCTATAAATTTATTGGGATTATCCCCTCCAAAGTTGTTAAACATGAGGATTTAACCTCTCAAGTACTCGACCTATTTGCCCGTACCTCTCTCGGGTTTATTCTTACACTTGCTTTTCCTTTCAATTATGAATTGATTCTTGAATTCTTTTCTATTTCTTACCTTAATTCTATCTTTATTGCACTCCAATCTTACATTAAAAGATGTCCTATTGAAATCACCTATTAAGACTTCTATAAATTTCTTCACATATCCACCATTGAAGATAAAATCCATATTTTGGCTTCAGATCCTGATTTTAATTGGGGCCCTACTAATGCCCTTCTTAGAGAAACTAATGCCCCCTATCATGACTCTAGAACCAGTACCTTAATGAAAGATGACTGAACCATCCAGCACATTCTTCACACTTTTGTTATTCCTAAAGATGGGGATTTGATTCATATTACTCCCATCAAGTCACTATTGACCTCATTTTTGTATGAGGTCACTAAGGCCCTTCCAAACTCCAGATTAATTCTAGATCCTAGGATCCACTCTAGACCTTAAGATCCTTTCCTATATTCAGACCTCAGGATCTACTCGAAACCTTAGGATCCTTTCCTAGAGCCAGACCTTAGGGCCTACTCTAGAGCCTAGGATTCCCTTAGATCCTAGATCCTAGAACCCCTCTAGATCGTAGGACCAATCTAGTTCCAAATCAATCCCTACCCTTGATCAACTTCAATCTCAAATCAATCCCCATCTTTGATCAA